AGTGGGTGCCAGAAGATATAGGGAAGCGGACATATCCACTCCCCTCCCCTTCCTTCTTTACCCCGTTGACAGATTTCCTGGCCACTGTGGCCGGGAAAGAATGTAATGCAGTGTGATATGCACTGCTTTACATCAAATTGAGTAGAGGGGAGACATCCAGGGTCTTTTAGACCCTGGATGTCTCAATACAGAGAACCTGTCACCAAAAATCATCACATAGAGGTCCCTATGTAATGAACAAAAATAAAAAAATTTAATTGTAAAACATTAAAATTACACCCAAGCACATAACCTCCCTCCCCCCAAAAAAGTTTGAGGCCTCCCACCCCTACATATATATGCAAAAGCACATATATATGTGGAGGTGCACATGCTGGGGTGCCCATGCATGAAAACGTTGATTGCGATACATGTTACATATGACCGCGAATGCCAGAATGAGAGCAATAATTCTAGCACAAGACCTCTTACGTAACACTATACTGATGACCTACAGTGGATATAAAAAGTCTACACAACCGTTAAAATGTCAGGTTTCTGTGATGTAAAAAAAATTACACAAAGATAAATTATTTCAAAACTTTTTCCACCTTGAATGTAACCTATAAACTGTACAACTCAGTTAAACAACAAACTGAAATCTTTTAGGTGGAGGGAAGTAAAAATAAAAAAAAACAAAATAATATGGCTGCATAAGTGTGCACACCCTTAAACTAATACTTTGTTGAAGCTCCTTTGGATTTTATTACAGCACTCAGTCTTTTTGGGTATAAGTCTATCAGCATCTTGACTTGGTAATATTTGCCCACTCTTCCTTGCAAAAAACACTCCAAATCTGTCAGATTGCAAGGGCTGTCAGGGATCCCGACCGCTAGGGGGTGCATGCATGCGCAGATCACCGGCGAGCACTGAGACTTAGGCGATCGCGTCAGCCGCACATGCGCACTCACGCGCCCTGTCACCAATGAGAGCACAGGGCGCCCTATTTAAACCAGCCCTGTGCATCTCCAAATCTCCTTATGGTCTTGTTCCTGATTGTCCTGTACTTCTGACTGCCTTGTTGCCGACCCAGCCTGATCCTGATACTGTTGTCTTCTCCTGCTCTGACCCTTGGCTGGTCCTGACCATTCTCTGACTGATCCTATTGCCTGACCTCCTGTTGCTGAACCCAGCCTGTGACCTGATTATTCTTTGCCTGCCGTTCTGTACTGTCTGCTCCGCTGTTACCAACCCAGCCTGTCTGACCACGTTATACCTCTTCACATCTGGCTCTTACCTGCTATACGGCATTGGCGGCTGCCTTTACCACAGCTGGTGTTACTCGGGGGTCGCGACCTGGTCTCAGGCTGCTTCAAGTCCATCCCCACCATCAGGGGCTCTGGTGAACCAGCAGACTGAGGCTTAGACTCCGCGCCCTGAGGGACTCCGGCCTGTGGGTCACTAGAGGCTACCGTCAGTCGGTTCGTGACAAGGACCTCTCCTGTGCACAGCCCTCTTCAGATCACCCCACAGATTTTCCTTTGGATTCAGGTCTGGGCTCTGGCTGGGTCATTCCAAAACTTGAATCTTCTTCTGGTGAAGCCATTCCATTGTTGATTTGGATGTATGCTTTGGGTCGTTGTCAAGTCAAAAGATGAAGTTCCTCTTCATTTTCATCTTTCTAGCAGAAGCCTGAAGGTTTTGTGCCAATATTGACTGGTATTTGGAACTGTTCATAACTCCCTCTACCTTGACTAAGGCCCCAGTTCCAGCTGAAGAAAAACAGCCCCAAAGAATGATGCTGCCACCGCCATGCTTCATTGTGGGTATGCTGTTCTTTTGGTGATGTGCAGTGTTGTTCTTGCACCAAACATATCTTTTGGAATCATGGCCAAAAAGTTCAACCTTGGTTTCATCAGACCATAACACATTTTCCCACATGCTTTTGGGAGACTTTAGATGAGTTTTTGCTAAATTTTGCCAGGCTTGGATGTTTATCTTTGTAAGAAAAGGCTTCTGTCTTACCACTCTACCCCATATCCAGGCATACAGTATGAAGAATACGGGAGATTGTTGTCATATGTACCACACAGCCAGTACTTGCCAGACATTCCTGCAGCTCCTTTAATATTGCTGTAGGCCTCTTGGCAGCCTCCCAGACCAGTTTTCTTCTTGTCTTTTCACCAATGTTGGAGGGACGCCCAGTTTTTGGTAATGTCACTGTTGAGCTATATTTTCTGCACTTGATGATGACTGTCTTCACTGTGTTCCATGGTATATCTAATGCCTTGGAAATTCTTTTGTACCCTTCTCCTGATACCTTTTAACAATGAGATCCCTCTGATGCTTTTGAAGGTCTCTGCGGACCATGGCTTTTGCTGTAGGATGCGACTAAGAAATGTCAGGAAAGACTTACTAGAACAGCTGAACTTTATTTGGGGTTAACCAGAGGCACTTTACATGATGGCAGGTGTGTACTGACTCCTATTTAACATGATTTTGAATGTGATTGCTTATTTCTGACCACAGCTACATCCCAAGTTATAAGAGGGTGTGCACACTTATGCCACCACATTATTTTAGTTTTTTTTATGTTTACTTCCCCACCATAAAAGATTTAAGTTTGTTTTTCAATTGAATTGTACAGTTTATAGGTCACATTAAAGGTGGAAAAAGTTCTGAAATGATTTATCTTTGTCTCATTTTTTACATCACAGAAACCTGACATTTTAACAGACTTTTTATATCCACTGTATAAGGGGCTTTAAAAGTGTCCCCTATAGAAAATATAGGGTACTATAGTTTGTCGCCATTTCATGAGCACATGCAAATTTATTGTTTGACATGCTGGATATCTATTTACTCAGTGCAACCTCATCTTTTATATTTTTACAAAAACATTGCATAATTTATTGCTTTTCTTTGTCCTAAAATTAGCTTAAGTGTAATTTTGACTGAAATTTTGCGTTTCCTAGCCCTTTGTGGTAATATCGTGTGCCATAAAAATTTGGAACTACCGCTATTTTATTCTCTAGGTTGTCTGCTTTCAGAAAATATATGTGTTGCGTGTTTTGTGTAATGTTCAGGCCTAAAATGATTTTTTTTTAAACGTGTCCAAAAATGACTCTAGCAGTGAAAGAGATAAAGGATAAGATTGACACTTCCCTTTCCTGACGAGCACCCAATTGGTGTTCATTACACTGCAAGGTCTCTCCCCTCCCTGCTAGTCCCCGGGTACAGTGCTGGAGACAGGCAGGGAGGCAAGGAGGAGATAAACAGTGCAATGCTAACCACTTGCCCTCAAGAGGATTTACCCCCTTCCTGACCAGGCCATTTTTTGCGACATGGCGTTGCGTCTCTTTAACTGACAATTGCACAGTCATGCAACGCTGTACATAAATGAAATTTATGTCCTTTTTTTCCCCCACAAATAGAGCTTTTTTCGGTGGCATTTGATCGCCTCTGCTTTTTTTTTTTTTGTGCTGTAAAAAAAGACCGACAATTTTGAAACACCCCCCCAATATTTTTGACTTTTTGCTATAAAACATCCACTAAAAAAAAGTAAAAAATCAAATGTCGTTATAAATTTAGGGCAAAATGTATTCTGCTACACGTCTTTGCTAAAACAAAATCCCAATATGTGTACCGTATTTTCCGGCGTATAAGACGACCCCCTACTTTTCCTGTTAAAATATAGGGTTTGAGCTATACTCGCCGTATAAGACTACCCCTCTTCCAACGCACACCAAATAAAAATGAAAAAACATCAGATTTGATTTCAATATGGTATGCTATTTCAGTATGGTATTCCAATGATGGGGCACTTTTCCTCCCACTGACACCAATGATGGGACACTATTCCTCCCACTGATACCAATGATGGGACACTATTCCTCCCACTGACACCAATGATGGTGCCCCATCATTAGTGTCAGTGGGAGGAATAGTGTCCCATCATTAGTGTCAGTGGGAGGAATAGTGCCCCATCATTAGTCAGTGGGAGGAATAGTGCCCCATCATTGGTGTCAGTGGGAAGAATCGTGCCCCATCATTGGTGTCAGTTGGAGGAATAGTGTCCCATCATTAGTGTCAGTGGGAGGAATAGCACCCCATCATTGGTGTCAGTGGGAGGAATAGCACCCCATCATTGGTGTCAGTAGGAGGAATAGCGCCCCATCATTGGTATCAGTGGCAGGAATTGCGCCCCATCATTGGTGTCAGTGGCAGGAATTGCGCCCCATCATTGGTGTCAGTGGGAGGAATTGCGCCCCATCATTGGTGTCAGTGGGAGGAATAGCGCCCCATCATTGGTGTCAGTGGGAGGAATAGTGCCCCATCATTGGTATCAGTGGGGAGAATAGTGCCCCATCGTTGGTGTCAGTGGGGGAGGAATAGTGCCCCATCATTGGTATCAGTGGGGAGGAGGAATAGTGCCCCATCATTGGTGTCAGTGGGGAGGAGGAATAGTGCCCCATTGTTGGTGTCAGTGGGGGAGGAACAGTGCCCCATCGTTGGTGTCAGTGGGGGAGGAATAGTGCCCCATCATTGGTATCAGTGGGGAGAATAGTGCCCCATCATTGGTGTCAGTGGGGAGGAGGAATAGTGCCCCATCATTGGTATCAGTGGGGAGAATAGTGCCCCATCATTGGTGTCAGTGGGGAGGAGGAATAGTGCCCCATCGTTGGTATCAGTGGGGAGAATAGTGCCCCATCATTGGTGTCAGTGGGGAGGAGGAATAGTGCCCCATTGTTGGTGTCAGTGGGGAGAATAGTGCCCCATCATTGGTGTCAGTGGGGAGGAGGAATAGTGCCCCATCATTGGTATCAGTGGGAGGAATAGTGCCCCATCATTGGTATCAGTGGGAGGAATAGTGCCCAATCATTGGTATCAGTGGGAGGAATAGTGCCCCATCATTGGTATCAGTGGGGAGAATAGTGCCCCATCATTGGTATCAGTGGGGAGAATAGTGCACCATCATTGGTGTCAGTGGGGAGGAGGAATAGTGCCCCATCATTGGTATCAGTGGGGAGAATAGTGCCCCATCATTGGTGTCAGTGGGGAGGAGGAATAGTGCCCCATCGTTGGTGTCAGTGGGGAGAATAGTGCCCCATCATTGGTGTCAGTGGGGAGGAGGAATAGTGCCCCATCGTTGGTGTCAGTGGGAGGAATAGTGCCCCATCGTTGGTGTCAGTGGGAGGAATAGTGCCCATCGTTAGTGTCAGTGGGGGAGAGGAGCGGCTGCTCCTTCTTTTAGTTCTGCTGCTCGGCTCCGCCTCCTCGCCGGTGATTGGTCGCCTGTGTGCCTTTCCAGTGCTGGCGCCCAATCACCGGTGAGGAGGCGGAGCCGAGCGGCCGCGCGCGACCATTGAGCGGCCGAACTGAAGAAGGAGCAGCCGCGCTTCCTGGACCGGATCGTCGTGGGACCAGGACCGGAGCCAGGTAAGGTACAGCAGCCCCTCTACCCACCCCTGTACTTAGTGTCCGTTGGAGGAGGAGGGGGGCGCCGCCCCTCGAAAAAGTGCCGTCCTGACACCGGCTCGCCGTATACCGGCGTATAAGACGACCCCCGACTTTTCAGAAGATTTTAATGGATGAAAAGTCGTCTTATACGCCGGAAAATACGGTAAATAAATTGATTTATTTGAAAGTTACAGCATCTACAAATGGTGATATACAGTATATACTGGAATTATATTTTTTTTATACTAGTAACGGCGGTGATCAGGGACTTATAGAGGGACTGGGGCGGGTATTCTGACACTGAGTGGGAACTGACTGCCACTGACATCCCCAGTGACACTAATACAGTTAACATCTGGGGCGATCAAAGAGTTAACTGTGCTGTGTGTATTGCACATTATGTGCTGTGTGTGGTTTATTATGGAGACATGCTGTTTTGTATTTTTCTGCTGTCCTCGCTGACAAGAGAGGCCTGTGTTGTTTACATACAGGTCTCTCCTCTGTCAGCTTTCTCCAACAATCATTGAGTGCCGGCGGAGAATCAGCGGCCAGGACCCAGAGATTGACATCTGTAGCCACCAATAGCGGAATGCAAATCACAGACCTGCAGCAGTACTTCCACTACAGGGTGGCGAGCAAGCGGCTAAATATTTAAGTCGTCATAAAGCCCCTCATAGCTTTCAGTGCCAGTCAATGATGCCTATCAGTGCCACTAATCAGTGCGCCTATTGGCACTAGTCAGTGCCGCCTATCAGTGCCCACCAGTGATGCCTGTCAATGCCCATCAGTTCCTCCTCACTGCAGCCTCATTAGTGCACATCAGTGAAGGAGAAAAATTACTTATTTACAAAATGTTATCACAGAAACAAAGAAAAAAAACTTTTCTTTTTCAAAATATTGTCTTTTTTAGCTTGTTTAGCAAAAAATAAAAAAACAAAATGGTGATTAAATACCACCAAAAGAAAGCTCTGTTTAAAAAAAAATAAAAAAGTTTGTTTGGGTACAGTGTTGCTTGACTGCACAACTGAATAATAATAATAATAACAACAAAGATAACAATAGTGATATGAATAAAAAATTAGTGCCAACCCATATAAAAATAAACATAAAAAATTAAGTGCAAAAACCGTGACCATAAAAATAATGTGCCCGCGATTAAGTATGATATTTGACACACCAAGCGTCATCCAAAGAAAACTTTAGCAGTGCTCACAAAGTGCCACAACAATAAATCCACATAATATATATATATCAAATGCAATATCCTTTTAGTGGAATATAAAACAAATCATGCGATGTGCAGCAGTGATATAAAATATACATAGATCGACATATATATCACCAAAAATGAATCAACATAGGTATATACAATATTTAGAGCAATGTCCTTATATATATTGTATATACCTATGTTGATTCATTTTTGGATATTGCATTTGATATATATATTATGTGGATTTATTGTTGTGGCACTTTGTGAGCACTGCTAAAGTTTTTCTTTGGATGACGCTTGGTGTGTCAAATATCATACTTAATCGCGGGCACATTATTTTATGGTCACGGTTTTTGCACTTAATTTTTTATGTTTATTTTTATATGGGTTGGCACTAATTTTTTATTCATATCACTATTGTTATCTTTGTTGTTGTTATTATTATTATTGAGTTTTAGTTTTTCAGAGCGCTGCACTGTTCATTTACTATTCATTGACACTGTTATTTGGTATCAGTTTTTTGAGTGCTGGCAGCTTAAAGTTAAAGGTTTAGTTTAGTTCCATTTGTAAAGCGCAGGAGGATTTTCGATCTTTTGACTGCACAACTGTCATTCAAAGTGCGACAGCTGAAAATTAGTCTGGGCAGGAAGGTAAAAGTAGATTGTAAGCTCCCAGGATCAGGGTCCTCCTATCACTCTTGTATTGAACTGTATTGTCTCCCTTTATATTGTAAAGCGCTGAGAAAACCGTTGGCACTATATAAATCCTGTATAATAATAATAAAAGTGCCCAGTAGGCAAGTGGTTAAGATAGCAATAGTGATAACCCCTATGGGTCCAGTGCTACTTTTCCATGTTCTTTAGCCCAGCACTTTCATGTCACCTAGTAAAGATGACAATGCACCCCCATATCTCTCATTCCTCCCCACCAATCTCTCTGATGTCACCCTTCAATTCTAACATTGCACCCGTGTCCTCTGTAACACTGGCATTGTATCCCTTGTCGTCTAACTCCCCTCACCCAGCACCCCCATGTCACCCTGCAATTCTAACATTGCACCCGTGTCCTCTGTAATACTGGCATTGTATCCCTTGTCGTCTAACTCCCCTCACCCAGCACCCCCATGTCACCCTGCAATTCTAACATTGCACCCGTGTCCTCTGTAACACTGGCATCGTATCCCTTGTCGTCTAGCTCCTCTCACCCAGCACCCCCATGTCACCCTGCAATTCTAACATTGTACCCGTGTCCTCTGTAACACTGGCATCGTATCCCTTGTCGTCTAGCTCCCCTCACCCAGCACCCCCATGTCACCCTGCAATTCTAACATTGCACCCGTGTCCTCTGTAACACTGGCATCGTATCCCTTGCCGTCTAACTCACCTCACCCAGCACCCCATGTCACCCTGCAATTCTAACATTGCACCCGTGTCCTCTGTAACACTGGCATTGTATCCCTTGCCGTCTAACTCACCTCACCCAGCACCCCCATGTCACCCTGCAATTCTAACATTGCACCCGTGTCCTCTGTAACACTGGCATTGTATCCCTTGCCGTCTAACTCACCTCACCCAGCAGCACCCCCATGTCACCCTGCAATTCTAACATTGCACCCGTGTCCTCTGTAACACTGGCATTGTATCCCTTGCCGTCTAACTCACCTCTCACCCAGCACCCCCATGTCACCCTGCAATTCTAACATTGCACCCGTGTCCTCTGTAACACTGGCATTGTATCCTTTGTCGTCTAGCTCCCCTCACCCAGCACCCCCATGTCACCCTGCAATTCTAACATTGCACCCGTGTCCTCTGTAACACTGGCATTGTATCCCTTGTCGTCTAGCTCCTCTCACCCAGCACCCCCATGTCACCCTGCAATTCTAACATTGCACCCGTGTCCTCTGTAACACTGGCATTGTATCCCTTGCCGTCTAGCTCCCCTCACCCAGCACCCCCATGTCACCCTGCAATTCTAGCATTGCACCCGTGTCCTCTGTAACACTGGCATTGTATCCCTTGCCGTCTAGCTCCCCTCACCCAGCACCCCCATGTCACCCTGCAATTCTAACATTGCACCCGTGTCCTCTGTAACACTGGCATTGTATCCCTTGTCGTCTAACTCCGCTCACCCAGCACCCCATGTCACCCTGCAATTCTAACATTGCACCCGTGTCCTCTGTAACACTGGCATTGTATCCCTTGTTGTCTAGCTCCCCTCACCCAGCACCCCCATGTCACCCTGCAATTCTAACATTGCACCCGTGTCCTCTGTAACACTGGCATCGTATCCCTTGTCGTCTAGCTCCTCTCACCCAGCACCCCATGTCACCCTGCAATTCTAACATTGTACCCGTGTCCTCTGTAACACTGGCATCGTATCCCTTGTCGTCTAGCTCCCCTCACCCAGCACCCCCATGTCACCCTGCAATTCTAACATTGCACCCGTGTCCTCTGTAACACTGGCATCGTATCCCTTGTCGTCTAGCTCCTCTCACCCAGCACCCCCATGTCACCCTGCAATTCTAACATTGCACCCGTGTCCTCTGTAACACTGGCATTGTATCCCTTGCCGTCTAACTCACCTCACCCAGCACCCCCATGTCACCCTGCAATTCTAACATTGCACCCGTGTCCTCTGTAACACTGGCATTGTATCCCTTGCCGTCTAACTCACCTCACCCAGCACCCCCATGTCACCCTGCAATTCTAACATTGCACCCGTGTCCTCTGTAACACTGGCATTGTATCCTTTGTCGTCTAGCTCCCCTCACCCAGCACCCCCATGTCACCCTGCAATTCTAACATTGCACCCGTGTCCTCTGTAACACTGGCATTGTATCCCTTGTCGTCTAGCTCCTCTCACCCAGCACCCCCCATGTCACCCTGCAATTCTAACATTGCACCCGTGTCCTCTGTAACACTGGCATTGTATCCCTTGCCGTCTAGCTCCCCTCACCCAGCACCCCCATGTCACCCTGCAATTCTAACATTGCGCCCGTGTCCTCTGTAACACTAGCATTGTATCCCTTGTCGTCTAGCTCCCCTCACCCAGCACCCCATGTCACCCTGCAATTCTAACATTGCGCCCGTGTCCTCTGTAACACTGGCATTGTATCCCTTGTCATCTAACTCCGCTCACCCAGCACCCCATGTCACCCTGCAATTCTAACATTGCACCCGTGTCCTCTGTAACACTGGCATTGTATCTCTTGTCATCTAACTCCCCTCACCCAGCACCCCCATGTCACCCTGCAATTCTAACATTGCACCCATGTCCTCTGTAACACTGGCATTGTATCCCTTGTCATCTAGCTCCTCTCACCCTCACCCAGCACCCCCATGTCACCCTGCAATTCTAACATTGCACCCATGTCCTCTGTAACACTGGCATTCGGCATCATACCCTCTAAGGGTGACATTTACATAAAGTTCCACCCTAAAAAACAATTACATCCTCTACTCTGTCAGCCAGCACTCCAATATATTGCACAACCTTTTATAAGCCATTTGTCAACCACCCTATAATGGGTATACTGCTACAGGGCAGCCGTTCTGTGCAAAATCACATAACCTCCATTTTAGATTGTAAGCTGTAATGGGCAGGACCCTCTGAATCCTGTATTAATTTGTATTGTAATTGTACTGTCTGCCCTTATGTTGTAAAGCGCCAC